ATTCTATACATAATTGGATTACAATTAATTATCATACTGAACTTACAATTTTTGTTGGGTTGTCTTTTTTTTTCATTGAAAATTTATCTTATGTGGGGTGGTCCATAAAATATGTAGCATTGCTGATGTTCAACCCCTCACTTCTAAGCCAAGTGTCCTGATGAGGGGAATATTATCTAAATTGCAGATAACTCTTGTTTACATGTATCATAATCTATCATTCATTACCTGTCAACAGTTATTGGACAAATATGTAGTATCATAAGATGAATATATTGTTATGTTAGAAAGAAAATGGATATATAATAATAGTAGTTATACGACTAATATATTTCAAACTAGACTAGGCTAACAGTGAATATACAGAAAACACAATGGGAAATAACATAATATTATAATAATGATATTATATTTCTCTTTTCTTGTCTAACAAATTTTTCTATTGGTATTCATTTACATATAGTCAAGAGAAAAAGACAAGTTAGATTCTAGACTCAAGGACCTGGCATATGTATATATTACATGATGCATAACTGCCAGTGTAATAACTGGTTGTTCCCAAACCAAGTTTCATCAAGAGTTAAACAAAAGCCAAGGGCAATAACCCAAAAACCGTTAATCCAAAAGTCATGTATATCACACTCATCCACAATCTCATCATATACATAAAGGCATACCATGTTTCGTTATGTACACAATCTGATCAAAACTGAAGTCTCTGCTGTGTTCACAAACCCATTATGATAGATAAAAGAACATGATAGTGAAATCATTCAAGATCTAATATTAAATTTTGTCAAAATCTGATCAAAACATCAATTCTGATGTAATCTTATGCGGTCAAGGCCAATAAGTCATTCATCAAAAGCTAGTGTAGATCAATCTCATCTCATACCAAATTTTATTCAAACCAGATAAAAACAGTAGCCTCTACCCCATTTACAAGCCAGTTTTGGAAAGATGACATGGTCAAAGACATTATGTCGACCTTATCATGAGTAGTGTAAAAAGTGCAATCACACATTAAGCCAGAATAAGATCTGTAAGTATGAGCTATTGATTTAAAGACAGCTCTCTTCTCAAGTGGAATTTAAATGATTGATTCACTTGTCTAAAAAATATTATAATGTAAAGTAAGATAAATCTTTTATTTTCATAAAAAAAATTGAGAGAATTTTCATGAAATAGATGGAAATGAAATTAATTGATGTTGAGATTGCTTTAGCAATACTAAAATTAGCTCAATAATTGTCCATGAGAAGCTCTGTAAGATGATAAAGGGAAACATGTATTAGATTAAACAGTGCTTGCCAAATACACTCCATATCTAAGAGGAAAAAAACTTCCTGTATAATCTTGTCTGATTTCACTCTAGCTCTACCCTAATATTGATTTTACAAACAGCTTGGAGTCAAAGATTTTTCCACAAGAATATTATACATGGCTAGAAAAATCAATTAGAGTGTCAAAGCATCTAACTAAATATCTCTAATAAACATATATTTTAACAGATATTTCTACCAGTTGATCTGTTATAATCTCTATAAAGTGAGGCCAGACAAACTTATTTCCATTTCTTTACAGTCAACAAATTAGGTTGATATGTTCTACATTTTCTAAATATTATGAAACAAACAATAGTTTAATATCTTAATGGACAATGGTCTGATGCGAGATTTACCACATGGAGTCAAATGCATTTAATTAAAAATGATGATGTTCATGTGACATTGGGTCAAATACAGTATGCTGTAGAGGGAATCTAAAAGTGCTGTCAGATCTATAGTATTATGAAGTCGCCCACAGGAATAGAGAAAAACTCAAATATATAAACGAGTTGCAACTTCACACATGTTCCACATTTTTATAAGTTGTCAGTAACGGTACTTATTAAAGTACTATGTAGCACCACTAACTCAGGATTAATATAATTTTGACTTCCAATAATTAGAATCGTCTACCATAATTATAATAAATTTTTATACATTTGGAAATTATGGCAAGATAGAAATATGTATAGGTTATGATCAAAACCATTTGTACCAAATATAAACTAACAAATCATATAATAGAACTACAAAAAGGTATCAAATACTACAGTACTATGGTCAAGAAGAATAAGGAAGTAAAACAATATACTCATATACCATCTTCATTATAACTAATAATATGTGTTCTACATTTTTTTAGGGAAGAGCGACAAAATAATTCAATATGTAAGACTCAACTACAACCAAAGTAAAATCACTGAAATCTATGACTTTTTCTGACTATCTAATATATTTCCATTACCAAAAATGTTTTCTAAAGCTTAATATCACGATTGTTTTCTCTTCAGTTCGACACTCTAAGAGTAAATTCCTGTTAGTGTTACCATAACCATAGTAAGAGAAGTAGAATGAGCAACTGTGAATATAACCCTAGATAATTTCTATTAAAAGAGATATATAGCTCAGTGCTGGAATAAAAGTATTGATCTTAACAAGTTGAAGAAAAGCATTAGAGTTTTATGTTAGCAATCAAATTCTAAGATTCCATCAACATTCTATTCTTAACCTATTCTAATTTCAGTTACTATCAAATCGTCTCAAAGAAAGCCTCGATTGACAGTCCAACTTTCTCCTTCTTCACAGCTATCTATCACTGTCAAGTAATAATCTGGCTTGAACCTGACGACAATATTACCTTTCTATATCTAGCTCAAAGAAATACTGATATTTCCATTAGAATTTAAAAATGTCAAATGACTAGGAATTCAATCCCCCGATTTTTTCACCTTCATTTGATCTCTGCCTGCTATTTAACATGCTAATCACTCATTTACCATCTTTTTATCATTAAATGACAATATCTTCTTAATCTTACTATCTATTCATATTAAAATATGCCAAGCAAATCATGGTGACATTGGGATGTAGTAATTTAGCTCTTTCCTCAAAATAATAAGAATATCTTCCCTTTTCTCAAGATAAGAAATCAAACCGTTATTTTCTCAAAATCTTAGATTTGCTTTTACTACTGGGATTTAAGATTGCACACTTATGTATCACATATTTGTCTAATAAAAAAGTTAAGAAGAATAATTGACATCATTCATACTTGAAATTGAAATGTCTCACAGATATAATCTAATCCTAATGGAAATGTATTAAATGGTTATAATCCTAATCGAAGTGTCTTACATTGATATAATACAAATAAAAGTATTAAATCCAAATGGAAGTGTCTTATATGGATTACATCCAAATGGAAAGTTTCCAACATGGATATTATTTTAATAGAATGGAGACAAATGAAAATACAGATAGTAAACAACAAAAAATACCAATTTCAGCATGACTAGAATACTACAGATTACAGATCTTTCAAATCTAATCCACTGAGATGGACTTCTGGAAACACCATGACTTTAACAAATAGACATGACCTTTATAAATTCTTGGTAATGGTTTTGGACTGGTGTTAAACCTGGGACAGAGACAGGTTGAGATTACAGTGACAGTAATTGACAAATGTTTCAATAAATAATACTGACATGAGGTCTATTGGTGATAGTTGATATATAAAATACTGTTATCAAATACCAATTATATATAGTGTCAACTAAATAACCCTAAACCTCGTATTATATTGCTCTACTTTATCACTCACAATACCCAAACCTAGCCAATGGTTTTTTATCTATGTTTAAATATGGTTCAACATGCAAATGAATGCATACCTGAATTATGTAGTATTAAGTTATAAATCCTATGCTTTCAACCCCATCAGCTCTAATGGCCCCTATGGAAGCGGTGGTGGCTCTGAGTTCGTCGCCTACACGCTAACTTGAAGGTCTATAGTTCTGGTATATGTCAATATTATACCTTCTGATTTTTCAACCCCATCTTCCCCTGTCAGTGATGCAGCTCATAGTGGCAGTTGGGACCACATACCTATGTCCCGTCTGCCACAAGCTGTACACGTTAAAAATCCCTCGACAGTTGGAAATTCATAAGAGTAGGCTAATCTTGATGTCCTCCAAAAATGTCCCCCATTGCTAACTGCAAAGCATTTCCTGTCTAAGTCCATTAGACATAAAACTCCATTCATTTCAATTCCAATGGCCTACAGCACAGAAAAGATTAACATGGTGACTGTGTACCATAATTTTTGATAACTGACTAACTCAGATCCAAATCAGTGAGTGGGCACCTAACCTTCTGAGTTATACTAGCTCAATTAATCAATGTAGTCCAAAGATCTAGGGCTCAATTCTGGGAAAATCTTAATTGATTCCTACTATTACTAATATTTGGAATAAGTCTTATAGCCATTCTGCTTTTAATCAACATAAATAATCAAGCCTGGCTTTTAGAAAACACAGATTAGAAAAAAAGATGATACTATTCATGTATAGCCACCTACAGTCCTTGGGGTAGAGTTGCAATTAAGACATAAAAGAACACAGCCCACTCAAGGTTTCAATAATAAGTTCATGAAATAGGAGAAGAGTCAACTTTTTTTTCACTACATTTAAAAATGTTTGAAATTCTTTGAAGTTGTATTGGTTTAAAGGCATTTAAATATCTGGAAATGGCATTATATATAGAAGATCAGATAAAAATGGTGTTTAATTACAAAATGACATATTACTTTAATCAGTATAAGCAGATAGATTTGAGCTGCTTGTTTAGAAGAACATTTAAAACAAACTTCAATTCTTCTTGAACATAATGATACTTACAAGTGTTAAAAAACTCACATGAAAGGCACAGGCCTAGGTCAGGAAGTTAGAACTGAATTCTACTTTTGCAATATAGAGTCATATTAATTAAATCAGCATCTGAAGGTGACAGGTGGTATCTTAGAACAAGGTGACAAATTTCTTTAATCACAAGCACATACTTAACACATTGGTCAATTTTTTAACTTGTTACGTGCATGTGCTAAGTGCTGGTAATTGTGATTTATATGTGTGGGCCCTAATTTGAAGTGAACCAATAAAACATTAAACTTACCTATATTTGGATGTTTTAATAGCCTACATATCCTTGCTTCTCTTTCTAATTTCTGTTGATCTGGAATTAAAGAAAAGCTTTATTAAATCAGGGTATACAAGTAAGAAGCCTCTTGGCTAACTTTGATGTGAAAAACATCATTAATTCATTGACAAAATGGAGATATGATTGTCCTTGGCACAAATTTTGAAGATTTGGGTGTGTGGTCTTAATGACATTTGTTTTCTTCACAAAAAGTAACATTCTGTAAAATAAGGACCTTACAATCTTCTTCAATGAATCATTGAAATGTTTGCATCAGGTGTTCATTCAAGTTTATTCGACCCAACTAACCCAACTGAAATATTAACAGGCTATTTGCAGATTATTTAAAAAGGGACTAGAATGTCAATCAATGGAGTACAAGCCCTATGACAACTTTAACATGTTTCACTGTATAAAATGTTGAACGAAAACCATTCCATTCTCATATTCAACATAAGTTAATTTAAAGCAAAATTCAAACCAGATAAAAGGAAGAGAAACAAAAAAGCATTCTCCTTGCTCCATTGTAGAAAGATACATCAGAAAAAATAATTAACAATGTGCACAATGGATTACAAAGTTGACCCTAACAAATGCCAAGATTTGGAGAGCTAAATATGAACAAATTTCCTGTCTCAAGGAGTAATTGATTATGTTTTCATTGGTAGCCAAGTTAATAGGAAAATAATTGGTATTAATTGGCTAATTCAGAAATGGTGACTTCCATAACCGCTCAACATATTTATATAGCATTATACATTAACATAACACCCAGTACCACGAACACTGAATTTCAATCAATACTAAGCCAATCTTCAACATGTTACTTTAAAGCTGTATCAGGATTGTACCTGATTATTAAGAAGCCTCAGACATCACACTTTATCTGACAATATCCATTGACAAAACTCTAAGCTCTGAGTGTAATTGACAGTTGGATATATGATAAATACAAATTGGAATTATTTAGGTCAGTGGTTCTCCTTAAAGCATCATTCCAGTTCCGACCCTATTTAACCCCAATATTGACGTTTGTGAAGCTCACTAGTAAATATACTATATGACTGTCTTTCAACTACAAGCTAATTATGATTCATACAATGATTGTTTTCCTGGATGACACACTAATATTACTGGTACTGAACAATCACCGGGAAATATAATAGTATAACCAACCATTTTTTCAAAAAAAAATGCTAAAGATTGGGTCAATGAAGAACAGAAATGCCATGTATTCTGCATTGAAAGAAATTTTGGCAAAACTGTTTGTTGCCTCCTTTTTTAAGTTTAGACATACAAACAGATGTGGAATGTTCAATGAACACCTCTGGTAATGCTGTCAAACAAATACACTTACCAGACTCAAAATTGAAGACCAAGTTAAAAGACAAAATATCATGCCACCAGGTTTTAGAGATTGCACATACAAAGCAGCAACTTGCTTGGAAACTGAGTAACATTAAAAAGAAAAATTAGTTTACAAGTTCGTTTAATTAACTTTTTTTGAAGTCAAGTTCACTGAAATTCACATGAAAAAGAGTGCAATCCTAATAAATGAGATTTTCAGATCAGGCCAATTTATCAAGTCTTTATTCAAGCTTAGTAAAAAAAAAAATCCATACAAGCAAAACAATTCTGTTAAAGGGACAGATGTGCAAATTTGGAGGCTTGATTTGAGTCTTGAATATATGAAAATAGTCATCAACAGTACTAGAAATGTACGAAAATAACAGAATTCCTCCGAAAATATCTCAATCTAGGAATTTCTTTTTCTAATTCTATTGATGATTTTTTTTATATAAGCAGTGTCTAAAGAAAACATAACTTGTCTTTTTAACTTTCAAACGAAGATAATTCTGGAAACATTGATTTGAATGTTCAAATTAGGTGAGCTGTGAGTACTATTACTGATTCCTGTTTCTAAGACTAAGGTACGATTGGTAAAAAAATAATAGTGCAACTGCCCCTTTAAAAGTACAATGTCAAGAACACTATATACCAATGTGATTATTCTTGAAATCAATGAGGCATGAATATAACACATCATTGAACATCAACACTTGGACAATTAAAATACTCTGATTAATCAACAGCTTTCTATCTCATAGTACTAAAATTATAAATAATTTAATATATCTGATCCATAGATTTGACAACATATCCATCTGTCATTGAAAATTCAAATTCACAAATCCAATAATTTATAAGTAATAGTGGAGATAAGATATTCTTGAGCACTAGTACTAGTATTAGTGGAAGTAGAAATGTAAAATATGCAACAAATGTCTCTGCTCAAAGATAACCCTAGACAATACTTTCAACTTCATTCTAAGTTAATGATTCATATTGAAATTTTCTTCCTCAGTCTTTAAAGAATGTGGGTTTTTCATTGCTAAACTTATTTTTGTTGTTTTTTAACCCTTGCCAGTAACAAACGATTTTTATTTTTGTATAGGACTGTGTAAAAATATCTAAAATGTAAGATCATGTGATGAACTCAATAGCATACTTCAAACCTAACAAATATCACCAACTCAACTTTCTCATTACTCAGATGTGAACTCTGAATTTATTTTCATTATAGATTTTTTGACCAAAACCAATTCTTTTCCTGTAATTATGGATTGAATGGCAACATGTTTTGAATAAAATATAAACCTGTAAACAACAAATATTACACAGAAACACAATTCAAAACATCTAAGAAAAAGATGCATTGTTTTACATATTGATATTTACTATGTTCTAATGATTAAACATTAACGCTATATATTTAAGAACACCTCATACAATTGAACTATGAACCATTTTGATTTTCCAATCAGACCTGACCAGGCTAGGCACTTATTCCATTATTAACAAGTCGAATCTGGGTTAAAAATTTCAATGCTGCTTAGACCAAATTCCTGATGCAGAGTTAAAATAATCTGATGATTCCTTTCCAGTCTGTGATGGCCAACAATTCAGTCAGATCATTTTCCCCACTGATATTTGTATTTCCATGTCAATCCAAGATGTTACAGAGATATTATACGATCTATATTATAACATAATATCAGATTACAAAATTTCAAAGCGGTAAAATGCAATATCAATCTGATCTTGGATAAAGGATAGCAATGCTATGTCATTATATATTTATCCTTTTCATACATTTCGAACATCATCCATTACAGTAAAACAGACATTATTCAATTCATTTAATATTCCCAGTTAGATTATCAATAACATTTACTTCAAAATAACATACCTCTTGCAGATAATTTCTTAGTATTTATTATTTTTGCAGCAAATTCCAAGCCTGTAGATTTCTGAACACATCTTCTGACAATTGAAAATGCACCCCTGGAAATAAGATATACAACAATTGATATTCCATAGTGCAGGTTTACATGGCCAACAAATCAGTACAAGGAATAAATCACTCTGTGAAATAGTTTGAGGTAATTCTCTAAATAGATATCGAAATAGCCCAAGATATCAAATGCATCAAGCAAACAGAAAATTATATATCCCATGCAAGACAATATAACCGAGACGGACAACTGTCTGGCTTGTTCGAGCTCACATTCTATAAATTGCCAATATACTTTACTCAAATCATAAGAACTTCTAGGAAATATATCTCTAGATATAAATAGTGCATAATAATGTAAATATACACAACATACTTTCCTAACTCTTCTTTTAATTCATATATATCGTTGAACATTACCCTCGACGTTTGGCCCGCCATGATGAATGCTAAATTACCAACATTAGTCTCGAGCTTTCTCGTTTTTGACCTTCCTTTGCGAGACTAGCTGCTATTACTTTTCCGATAGCAGACGGTAACTAAATGCATTACTCGAACACAACTGCTATAAACAGCGCATAAACTTATAAATAAAATTCCTATTTTAATGTCCTAGCATGTTTAAACTGTTTTTGAAAAGCGGTCAACACAAATATATTATCAAGATTTTTGTTTGCCAAAGAAGCCTAATGTAAATGTTAGAAACGAACAATTCTAACAGTGAAATTATCGACCTCAATTTCTACAATTGTTATACATAATTTTACTTATAGAGGAATGTATAAAATATCGCGTGTTGAACAATGTTTCAATATGAGATATCACCTGCATTAGATGATAAAGGCGTGGATTATGAGGTGCTGTGTTTCGCACTGTATCAAATGTTGATTTAAGGCTTGACAGTAAAATTTAGCCAGTTCCCATCTAATGAGGGCTCTAGTCGACCTAGCCTTTTCCGCTAAAAGTGATCATCAACTTATAAATTTGCTTAACAGGTTGTTTATTCTCCAAATTGAAAATAAAACTCTATGGTCGACATCACGATATCATTGGCAAATACAAGAAATAAATGGACCAAAGCTGAGATAGGTATTTTCATAATACTACCCTTGTTGATTTATCGTTGCCAATTTTTTTTTTTATTAAATTTGCAAGTCACATCCGAAAGCAACTGTTGGCTTCTGGGAGAATCAGATTAATCAACCACCAACGACTAAAACTCTTCACAAAAAACCCAAAACAATTGGATCTCACCGTTGTAAGCAGTCAGCTTCTTTTTGGGACATAAAACTAAAGGAACATCTGAATGCTGTAGATGCAAAAGACTAGAGTTTGATGCATATTTGATCTATTCTTTAACAGAATAATGAAGATGGGCATCCCAATTAGGAAGGAAATAATTCGTGCTGTGGCTACTAATCTTTGACTGTACATTACCTCCATTAAATATTATACCTATGGTTTATCTATTTATTTCAAGTTGATTTATATTGAGTCAAATACTAAGAGGAAATCGAACACATGGCGTTTCTAGTTTGCAAAGATATAAACTAGACTTAGTAAACAGGAATAAACGAGGTAGAATGGATAGTTGCTAGTCGGACGAAAATTGACGAGCGGGTGTCGTTTGAAGACGAAGCGTCATCTAGAGACTACACTGCGTCAGCTTAACCACAAAGCTAAAGAAAATTAACGATTGCAGTAAGTTTTCAAAATGCTTTTAAAATATATTATACAAAAATATCAACATTTTAATCCAAGCAGTTTCAAAGCAGCCTGAAAAACAAGCACGATAGATCTTTATACCTACATGCATCGAGATGAGTTAGATCAAGAGCTAGATTGAGCTAGAATCTTGGAAGTTTCCCCACTTTGATACAGGCCAAAGAAAATGTTAAAGAAAGGTTAAATAATTTGGTGTTACAAATTATAAGTCTTCCAGTTATACTGATTTGATATGGGACAATTTAAGTGGAGCAGAAGCTCATACAAGTGACTTACACATATGTATTTATTTCATGACAGTGATACCAATAAAAGGGTTGTCTCATGATACCACTCCCTCACCAAGAAGTGAAAAAAAAAACTTATTTCCTTCAGGAAAATGCTTTAGGACCCTCTGCGGTATGTAGTTGATTAGTTTCCAGGAACCTTAATTTGCATATAATTAAGTCTAATTAGGGTGTGTCTTTTAATACAAAACATATGTTACTTTGTTGAATTCGATTTGCTGGACAACCACTTCCCTAACGTTTCGTGATATTCCATCCCTTCAAGCTAGCGTGTCTACACGTTGGATACAATAATAAATTGTTCATGTAGGCTTATGTAGTTCCATTAATGTGTCTGCAAAAATAGAACACAACAGAGCAGAAACCCCATTTTCAATGTTTAACTCCTCAAACTACTAGTTAACTGTTTGGTTAAGTAAATAGAAAAACCACGATGAAAATAGCAGGAATGTGATGTGACTGATTTCTGTGTATCTGTATATTCACAATGGAAGCTCTAATAGATCTATCCAGACGACTGTGTGATTACATTTTCAATATATAGAGTAGACCTCAAATAATACCACAAGTATCGATCGACAAAGAATAATTATTTTATAACCAAGTTCAATTTAGTTAATGCGTTTCACGTGAAACGCTGGTCGTCTTGCCCAGAGAACGTAGCCTAATAGTTTTCTGGTTTATATCACATCGTATATCTGAAGACATGACACTCAGCTCAAGTCAATATGCCCCGTCAGATGATACAAGTCAATTGAACCCAACGACAATTAGTCTGAAGACGATTGATCCCAAGGCTATTTAGTCCCAATTAATTAGTGACATATAGTTCTATGACAATCTGATAGTCCTCAGAAGACCAAAGTACTAGTAGCCTACTATAATAATTATACGAGGAAGATTACTTTGGTTAAAAGACTATACGTATGTATAATATATAAATTGGAAGGGGTCTGAAGATCTTATGTGACTAATTATATCCGACATGACGGAATCGAAATATTCAGAGACATGTAGACAGTTTCTGTTTGAATTTAAAAGCTCGGGGTCAATGATACACATGCGCTGGTTATCCATCTAGGAACGTTGAAAGAGTTGATGAGGCCTCATTTCTTCGCGCTTGCGCGGTAATTGTGACTTAAAGCCCGTTGCAGTCGAGGGGAACTGGATGAGCTGCCTGCGTTTCTATTAGTTAGCTATTTTCTATCTCAGCTGGCAGCTTAAACGCCCACACATGGTGAATTTCTAACTTCTTTAGGCAGAAAATATAAAACAAGATAGTTCTTCAAGTCTCTCGAGGCAGAAATCTCACTAAAAATTCAGAGCACATTGGGGGAAACAGCTCAGCTCCAAACCTCTTAAGGCAGCAGCTCAGCTAGTTTCTCTTGTCAGTGGCGAGCATTCTTATGTCTTTCATAGTTTCCAATTAAGTAGATTAAGTCATCAAGCACCAATTTCTCAAAACAAAGGCATGTTTATTCACAAACGTCTTTATTCTGATGCTCTACAATATGTCCAGAAAATGATGATACAACTGACCACACTTCTAGTGAGGGGATTGAGCAGGGGGACATAATTGCAATCATTTCATTATGTACAAGTGATAAAAAATTTGAAAGTGTGTATGTGTTGGGATGGCAAACCGGTTCGGCTTCTGTTCTGACCAGTGGAGGCCCCATAGAAACGCTACTAATATCTACATGCATGAGCGAACAATATAGATAAAAGTGATCAGCTGGGTAGTCGCAAACCCCGCCAGCTCAGATAACTACTAGATCTAATCAGTAAGAACATCCTTATCCAGGATATCAGTCATCAGCACGCAGCTTGTGTTGCATTGACTTATTGAATCGTAATTTGTCTAGTAATTAGTCAGTTAGATTCTGACATTTAAATTATACTTTTATAAAGAAAATATTCTTTATCTAACACATAATAATATTGTCATTATGTCGATTATGACGTCATAAAGAAAATATTCTTAAACTAACACAGTCATAATAATATTGTTATAATTCTCACTGTCGATTATGACGTCATAATGATCATTGTGATATTATAACGTTGTTCTGTTATATTATTTGATAACTACCTTTTCTTCTTAAGTGAAACAACAACAAAAAACAGTCCAGTAATTATTTCTTTTGAAGGTAAGTTTCGTAAATGAAGTATTTTACATATAAGTAGGAAAGCAATTTGCTTTTTCCTCTTGAATTAGGCTTTTGAAGACGATTATCAATCAAGTAATAATAAGTTCAGCATGTTTGTTTTCAGCAATATGGAAGATAATCAGAAGGATTCGCCTGAACCACAAAATACACTCACAGGTAAGCAATCCTGGTTCGTTGTTACTTGAAACCCTACAGATAAAAGTTTCCAGATAATTACTACTGCTCCTGAATGGACGGTTGAAAACAGACATCATCACAAGAACAGTGATATTACCTAATTTGATTACAATTTTGATCTAGATGTCTCGTTTTGTATTGTATTTTTGAACGTTAAAATATTTGTCATCCGAATTCTTTTCAATTTCTTGCTGTCGAAAAATATTCTTAAACGTATTCAATTCATTAAATTTCTCTCAATTAAATCTGTCCCTCCGATCTGCATCAAAGGCAAAAACCTACCTGAAAAGTCTGTCTAGCTGAAACCAGTGGAGGTGCCACTTAAAACTTAAAAACAAAATTTTGCACATTTTTTGCTGCAATTTTAAAATCTACAAAAATTGATAAAGAGTTTTCTTGGATTGCATTTAAACTAAAGTTATGTAGGATTTTAGAATTTGAAATGCCACAATCAAGTAGGAATTTGGATATACATGAATCGGAATGTGTTTTTCAATTCCAGGGGGAAATATAAATGAGCTAGTAACAGAGGAAGAAAAACGTTCGCAAGATCACATAAGAAGGTACTCATGATTTACTAGCTTACGAAACTACGTATGGTTCTTACATGGAAATAACACACACGAATATAGTTTACAACCATTTGGAATCACTAATTTGACTTAATAAGTCGAATTTCTATAAGGGTTATAATATTAAAAAAAAACCCTTTAAATCACATTAGAGGATTAGAAATGGGTTCAAAATGTGCTTTGAAGAAATTGTTGAAATATAGCCTTTTGAAAAATTCGATTTATTAAGTCGAGGAAAAGATTCAAAATAGTTGTGAACTTCGTTCGTGTGTGTTACACGTAGTGTCGTTTGTTTTTACAAGTTATCAATCTCATCCAGACAAAGAATCGTGAATACAATCAAATATTGAACAGAAGTGTAGATCTTAGCCAAAAAAGGTGAATTACTCTTTGGGAAGGCAAATCAAAATTAACTTTCCTTTTCAGTTTTATCGAGCACCTTCAAGATCTTACGGGTGAGTTTATAGCAAAACGCAGAAAAGCTGTTTTGCAATTTCAAAATGCTGTTAAGATCAAGGAAGACTGGATACATGAGTATGTAATGTGGCAGAGACGGTATGATTCAAATCGTATTGAACTTGCTGAATTAGTCACTCCAAAGTCACCCAGGAGACAAAGATGGCAAGGCCTATAAACTATACCTCTTTATGAGTTGAGTCCGTCCTAATAATAACAAATCTATGAGACGATAGACGATCAAAGAAAAAGAAAAACAAATACCAATTTATTTTAGAAAATTGTAAATTGATATTAAACTAGATGTAAAAAGATAATGTATTAATAAAAATAGATAAGAGGTATTTTCATGATCTGTATATTTATAAATGAGCAAATGGTGTCTCGAAAATCTCAAAAGTGAAATAATAATACACGTATATTAAGAGTTTGTTTTATCTAAAAAAATAAACATTTTTTTGTTTTCACAACATGAAGATGTTATAACGAAGAGTGGCTTTCTGTAATCCAGTTTAACCAATAGATAGTGAACTAAATCTCGGTTTTTCGTCCAAAGAGCTTTGCTTTAACAATTCAAAATCGTTTTCCAAACTTCCTTATTCGGTCATCACTTGTTTTCATACATAGTTTCGTTGTCTGGTCATTCTTGGATGGTTAGTGTCAATAACAATGCTTATTTCTGAATTTCGCTATGTAATCAAGAAACGGGTTCTAAGTTTGGTGGACAGTTTAGGGTTCAGGCACATGCACAAGGTTTATCACTAATCCGTAGATAACCCTGTCCTATAAAACTGGTTTTCTTGTTTACGTCAATCTGTGCTGGTACAAGACAACGTTGAGCTCTATTTATAAAGTAGAGAAAGTATGGTCTGCTAGTTGAATCTGAAGCTATAATCAGATTACAAGCGATTATTCCACCAAGTATTTTGTACCAGACAAAACTTTCTATCATCAGCGGTGATTTATAATCAATCAAGAGGTGATTAACAAGAACAGTTTTATTTCTAGTAATTGTACAGAACTCACGGAAATTTGGAAGTGCTTTCCAATCATTGTATGTGCAGTATAATTTCAAACAGGTTTAAGTATTTCATACTCAAGTGTTGATTAATGGCATGTACTTTCTATAATCGATCTCTTTACAGCTTCTGAAGGTACAATTAAAGATGATTTCCTTTTATGTCGGATATTGCTTGCAATTAAATGTTGGTAATTCTAAAACGCACAGGGTTGTCTAAACGATTCCTACATTTAACTAACTTTGTATTATTCGAGAGACCGACTTAATGTTTAGGTGTTATCAGTGGTAATTTGATTGGAATTATGTATAATCTATGCAAACTAATTTTATGTCATCAATTTTGATAATAATTTCGCAGATAATAACCGGCCTGTGACATATTTTCGTATAGATCCCTGGATTTCAACGCGGGATACATCTACCTTGGGTGTACCAGCAATTAGCCATCACGAGAAGTCTCTGACAAATTTACAGATAAATATAGACTTTTCATTTACATACTTCCGCGAGTTATTACAAAGAATTCGGTTATTTTTAAAAAACACTGATCCATTTTTGATCTTCTGGTACATAGTACATTCACATATTACTGAATTATTGCTCGGCTTATTATGTGAAAATGTGCTGAGAAATCGGCAAAAATGATATGAAGAGTTATCGTCGCTTGTGGCAGCTTTCGAGTAATAGCAGCTTTCTACTAAGAAGATGTCATTGCTTGAGTTAAGTTAAGCATTAAAATAAGCTGTTGGCCATTTTTCTGTACCCTGTTCAAGCAAATTTTGTTTGTACTGCTTGATCATGTAAATTTTGATAGAGAACATCAAAATTTTTAACTCCATGATGCGTGTGAGCAGCGATAATTCGATGGTTTTAGTTCGTGAGAGATTGGTCTATTTCAAATGAATCCGGCAATAAACCGACAATAAAATGACACAGATCTCGAGACAACCGGAAACCTTTCGTTTTGGCACTTTAAAAGGAACAAAGTGGTTAAAATATGCTTATTTGTAACAGTTTGTTCGACTGAAGGGAAGTAACCAAACCAATAAACACCGATACACCAAACAACAGTAATTCTATCTACTTGTCATGTAACTTTTAACTCAGACAAAAACTAGTAAGTTGAGCATCATAAAATAATAACAGTATTAAAACAACGAGCCCCCCCCCCCCCCCTCAAAAAGCTATGGGGCTTATGTCAACTGGAGCTAACAGCATGCTATTCGGATTCGTTGCTATACGCGATCAACAAATAAATGAGCTGGAAAATAGAACATGGGAAAATGATGGATGAAAATCTAAGTGTTCTCTTATTCTGCGGGAAAGTGGGAAATGTTTTTAGTCTCTACATTTTAACCCGGGCCAGTGTGTCGTAGGAACGTCAGTGGCCATTTCCTTAAAATAAGCGAAAAAATCTTTGGTTTATAATTTCCCTGTGAAATAATTTTTGCATTAAGACGATAGAACTTCGATTTAAATATTTAAAAAATATTTGCAATTCGACTTAAGGACATCGTGATTTGTTTTCAAGTTTCTCAAGGTTGCAAAAGAAAGGTTTTTATCATTTTTCATATTTTTTCCAACCGTTATTGAAAGACACATCCTACCTATTTATCTTATCTATTAACCAACCCCTACGGCGCATATTAATTTATAACAAAAATCTGAGAAAGATTTACAATAAGTTAAAAGATTTGTAATGGAATTGCGTTATATGAAATGTAGCTTAAAGCAAACTATTAGATTATATTACTGATGGTATAACTTCTAAAGGTGACAAAACACTTTTATGTCAACTATGATTTATGTATGTAGAAAGTACATTATTAAATCAACAATTAAAGTACAATTAATTTGCCTACATTCTGAGCCTCTACTCGTATTGATCTCGGACGTCTACAAATTCGGAAATACCAGGAATCATGCACAGGCCTCTGATTGAAAATTTGAATGGTCTAAATTGATGCCATCAGTGTCCACGTTACTTATAAAAAATAAAGAAAACCTCTTCACAATCTCTTTCAGATCTAAAGTGGCCCTCGCACCATAGCGATCACCAGTTGCTAACAAGAATAAGCGTAGCTGTCAATTTAGTTTCAAAAGCTATCATGCAACTGTGTTGTAGGTTGCGTTCAGAACTTATGACCACTTTTATGTATTCTCCACCATTCGCAACTGGTAATCGATTTGGTGTGACATCAGTTTTTTCATTTGCCTTATATCTAAGTAAAGTAGGATATTGCAACACACATCACTGATAACTAGAAAAGACGTTTTAATTAGACCTATGTAATTTTAAAAATAGGTGGAAACTCTTTGCCCCTCTTCGACAAATTCATGAGGATATTGGCAATATTCTAATTCTAAAATGCGTTCACGGTTTAAAAAAGTATTGATATATCAAGATCTGGCATTTAATGTGATTCTAAATAGGTATAATAATGTCATTTAATACCATTTTGTGACATGACATGGAAGTAGTTATTTTGTTGTCCGCCTGCGCCGAGCAACAACATGCTATTACTGTTTGCACTGACGTACATAGATCAAGCTATTTTTGTTAATGTCGTACTAAATGACCACATTCCAACCATTACTATCACTCCTATTTATTTGCATTGAATTCTAAAGATTTTTCATATCCAGTTAATTCTTGAATTATTGTTCAAGGATGCAGTCGAATGGGAATTAATATGTAATTCAATAAAGAAATTTTATACTCCGTAACACAAAGAGTTTTATGTTCTGCTTTCAGGCCCCTTTGATCTATGAGGTTTACTTTCCACAGGGAAAAAGGAATTTTTACATTAAATGAAATCAGAAATTATTTGTGTGACAGTTTCAAGAAAAATATACCTAGGTTGATACTGCTTGTTTGTCGTGAGTTGTTTGTCGTGAGATAACAGCTAAGATATTAACAAAGTTATATTTACACTATATTTAATTAACTAACAAGAGGTCTACACTAAATCTGAAGAATCCACCCGAGATCTTCTTCCTCTTAGCACGACGTGATCCTAACCCTTGCTAACGAATGAATCCTATGTCCTTCCTCCTTCCTTGCCAAATCCAGAGTTCCCCAAAATATGTTTTCGCCCTATATATATCCTCCGATAGGTGTCGCTCTGAACAAAGAAAATAATTTGAATTTCCCTCCAAATTTGGGCCGACATCTGGATACACTAGTCTATTTTCTATTGTTACCAAGTACTCAATTAACCATACCCAAGATGTTAATCTTATAGTAAGTACTTATAGGTAACAATAGACCTGTCCAAATAATTCTAGAGTATAGCAAATGCTACTATACCCTTTTGTTCCATTACGACCCCAGGAGGTAATTGCATTAGCGGTGACATCTTTGTCTCCAGTCCAGGCAACTTTTTACAACATACAACAAGGCTACAGTGAAGACTGTATTTTCTATGCTGCAGTAAGTCGATCTGATCGCACTACGGGAATTTTACTGAGAGTTGCATATATTCCATGTTCTTACAAAATTGGAAATATCCATCGACCCGAGCGGTTCGAATCTGCATCCATGAAATTATTGCAATTAATAGCTTGTTCTTTAGCAGAATTAGTAGGATGATGTGAATCTTTCCTCATTTGCTATTATCAATAAACCAAGTATTAACGATCCGAACCACAAAACGAAACCTGAAATCCTAAATAACATAATGGCAAAACATTGGTCGCAGCTAATGAACTTTCCACAGGAGTGAGTAGGTATTTCACAATGAAAAGACGTATCAGGTATCAGGCAAAAACAAACAAATAAACAATCAGTAATTGATTTTATTACCTTGATCACGTTACGTTTTATTGACATTCAAATGCATGAAGTTCTTTGGTGATCCATTTTTCAATAACTATTGCAGAAGTTTACCGTAGGCAGTTTATTTGTCGATATGCCACATATCTGGTAAGATGTTGTGAATCGCCAGTTAACTTGAGCACCCCCAGTCCCCTCTCAATCGTAAAATAATTACCTAGTCTATTAATCTCGGAGGAAATACATGATAGCATCAATAGAGCACGATTAAAAAAAACACATATGATAAACCGACGCATAAAAGAATTTTTTCACCGGAAATGTTATTATCTATTATTTTATTCCGGAAACATAGCATTGTTTGCTTATATAACCAATATTCCCCAAGTAGCGACAATTCATCCTCATTTGTATTCTGAGCAGGCACTTCAAATAAAAAAAAATATACGATATAATTGTGCTATTTTGGTCAATACTCTGAATTTCCTTTTTAAACAAATATGGTTATGTAACACTTTTGTGGAGGTTGGATACTTTTCTGAAAGTC